CACACACACATATACACACACACACTCTCTCTCTCTCTCTCTCTCTCTCTCTCTCTCTCTCTCTCTCTGTCTCTCTCATTCTCATTACACATGCACACACACATCATAATGAGTGAGTACATACAAATACAAAGTACAGACTTCAACAGACGTTAAGGACCACTTTGACAGACAGCTCTGATTTTTTAAAAATACGAAAAAAGACTTCAAGGAATGCTTCGAAATTTTTGCTCTGAAAGTGTTAATGTATTACCAAGGCGTACTGCAAAGCTTCCTAAAGGGGCAAAACCAGCATGAGCAGCACGGAAATATTCGGGGAATTTTAGCCAAATTTGCAGTTTTTTATCGACTTGTGTGCGACACCATGGACATTCCTCAGTTTAAATTTCTGCTGCACGTAATAAACGGACGACCCAAGAAGACCACTCAGAGTGTTTGCAAGTGGTCCTTAACTTATGTTGAAGTCTGTATAAATTATACAGGTACTCAATGTGATCTCTGGGTTATCAAAAATACAAAGAATAGATATACCATCATTTACATAGTAGGACTACTGAAAACGAAGCTTAATCATGTCTTATTAGAAATGATTTCATGAAATATTTCTCTTAATATATTTTAGATTTAGACTCAGATGTATCATGTGTCTCTGGGGTTGAGAAAGGGAGTGGAAAACTGATGGAGCAAGGTGAGCAAAGGGATCTGTTAGCTAATTCTTGACTCCCTTTTCTGAGAACTCTTAAAAGATACTGATCACCCGATCTCAGTTTATTTAGTGATTTAGATGGAACAAAAATCTGGTTGAGATCACCAAGATATGAGAAATCATTTGTTATTAACACTATTATGCTGTAATATTGCAATTTTATACGATATTCTAGCTGAAACAGGAAGCCAATGCAATGTTCTTAACATAAGAGTAATGTGATCCTTTAGTTTTAGTTTAAGTAAGGTTTTACAGCACTCGCAACTGCATAAGGTCATATGAGCGCTTAGGGGTGGATGTCAACAGGGAAGTCCAAACGGGGAACTAGGCTTACTCTGCTCACCTCTTTAGCCTCAAAAGCACGAAGTCTTCTTCGACTATCAAGGCACCCCGGAAGTAGCAGTTCACAAGCGAGTGGCAAACATACAAAAGAAGTAGAGGAAAATGACGATAGTAAGGATGAGGAAAGAAAAAGCAGCAGTTCCCCATATGTTGTTTCTGCACAGAATGAGCATGACATTGATAGGTCTGCCCATTTACAATTCTACTGTGCATTCGAACATGTTAATATCCCCTCCCCCCTTTGGGAATGGCCTAAAGAGACTTCAGTATGTGGCATTGCCCTGGGGTGGGGGGTGGGGTGTGGGGG